AAAAGTGTTATTCATGGAGCTAGAAGAGCGGCGGATTTTTTGAGGATGGGATGGAGAAGATAAAACAAAATTTCGCGCGTTATGGTTCTGGAAGAGGTGGGCTTTTTATCTTCAATTCGATTTTACAATGTCTAACCGGCGTACATAGGCTCTTCGATTACCACAACTGAATGGGAAGTAGATCCCACACAACAAATTACCTCACCACCTGCTCTCGAAACTCCTAGAAGCCCAGGTCATGCGTCTAGACAGGAGGAAGGTATACAGCAGGAAAGAACAGTAGGATCGCGACGTAATGAACATTCTTCAGTCCAAGAAACGGAAAGTTTTTACTCAGCAGTAGACAGCCAACCAGGATCTCGCTTAACATCATTACAACTCGATGCGTTAGAGCGACAACATGCTACTGAAGAACTCGGTGTAGCATTTGACTCTGAATCTGAATCGGACGATACTAGTTCCCACTCAGCTATTACAGAAGGTCAATGTCTTACTCCAAATCCTACGCCAAGTCACCCAGACATTAAAGAGAAGCCACTCCCAGATATTCCAACCAGTGATCCAGAAATTGATCCTTTCTTTTCAAGTGAGACAGATCATTCACAACCATGGGTTAATACACAAGACGATGAACACGCATCCTCTTCCATCGACTCCAGACAAGGATTTTCATTTAAAACAGGTGATGATTCACCATCCATGTTACATGAAATTTCAAAAGATACCTTGCGGAAAAGTAACACGGTACCAGTCCAAGCAAGTCGTCTTTCTTATGTTATGAATAATGAAGATGAATTTGTGGCAACACCGAGACTGGCAGATTCAAAATTTGAGCTTAAACCGATACGGGGAATTATGGAGGCGAAAAGTGGTGCGAATTTCAATGTGAATACGATGCCAAGTGGTTCTTTTGAGAAAGAAAAAGAAAAGGAAATGGAGAGGGGAAATGATAAGGGGTTGAGACAGCAGTTGGGAATGGGTATGGGAGTGGGAAGGGACATTGAGAGAACTGATTCGAGTAGTAGTTTTATTACTGCTGTGAGGGATAATTCGGGGAGGAGTGAGGGGGGTCGATTAGGAAGGAGGAAGGGAAGTGGGACTGGAACTGGGAGTGGGAATGGAGGTGGAGGTGGAGGAAGACAGAAAAATGCGCAGGGAACGGCGGTTATGGCTGTGAGTGCTTTTCTTTTTGGTAGTGATGGTGAGAGTAGGTAGATGGGGGGATTTTGAGAGAAGAGTGAAAAGAGTGAAGTTACTCTCATATATGAGATTTCGTTCATCCTATCCTTCATTCCAGGCTCTGGATAGGAGAATGGATGGATGGTTGGTTGGGGGAGGAAATAGAGTGAGTGCTAATGCTAATGATAATGGTGAATAGGCAGTAAGAGCGATAGCAGCAAGTAATAAATCGTCGACGGCTAATGATAGGATTCAAGCTCATGCAAATGAATTTGATAGAAGAGAGGTTGATAGAAGAGAGGTTGATAGAAGAGAGGTTGATAGAAGAGAAGTTGATAGGAGAGAAGTTGATAGGAAAGAAGTTGATAGAAGAGAGGGTCTACCATTTAGTCCCGAGCGGAGTCCACCGGGGAGTCAAGCTGGTGGGGGTAGAAGTAGGGAGTGAAGAGTGGAGATGGAGAGTGAAGATTGAATTGAAGATGAGGTATGGGATGAAGTTGTATGGGGTAGAAATGAGTTGTGAGATGAAGTTGTACGGAGGTGTGAGATGGGATGGAATGGAATGGAAGAAAGGTTGGAGAAGGGGTGTAGGATGGAAGAGTATAGAATTAATGGTGCATCTTGTGATATGGACGGATACACGGAAACGGAGGTTGCTATTCGAATTACTGAGTATACTCGGAATTACATAAACTTAATTAATATATATAAATAGAAAAAACTCGGTATATTAATAATTGATTCGACTACTAAAGAGGGTCTGTAATTGAAGAGTTTATATATGTAAGAAACACTTAAATATTTAAAAAAGAAAATAAAAAGTTTTTATTTATAATTGTCGGCTTGCCGACACCAAAACCTTGCTGTACGCGAGGTTTTCCCGGTGTAGGTGGTAGAAAATGAGAAACTCGTTTAAGTGAAGCTCGATCCTGACAATCTGGTTGATTTAAAATACCCCTATAGAAAATCTAACAAAAAACTTGGCATTGTAATTTTACAATCTTAGGTATAACTGACTTAGCTTTTTTCAACTCAACTCATCCAACTCAACTGTTACGATGGTAACAACTGACTAATTAAGGAGAGCTTGGGCCTTGTGCAAAAGCGATTAAGATTTCATTGAATTAATATGTGATCTGGGTCACCTTAGGATCATATGCGCACGCACCGTCAGAAAACACGTGACTTGGAGCCTTTGGAGCTGAGGATCCAAGAGGATCCAAGGGAGCATGAAGATCTATATAATCAAGATGGATTTCCTTTGTATAGAGCTTCGTGCTAAAGATCAATCATTTAGTATACTCTACTATTAGTTACGAATTGCATATCATTATTTGTCATTACTTAAGTCCCTGCTTGACGCCTAGTTATAAACCACCTCGAGAGCCTAGAGCACTTCCACGTGATCTAGACGGCAAACCTCGTAACACACCATTAGGATTAGTGTCCTGAGGCAAATATAAGGATCACGTGATGGATAGACTGGATAGACTGGTCTATCCAGGCTATCCAATAGCATTCAGAAGTATATAGTCAGTAGATTTATAGTATAGGAGCTTCGTGCTCAACTTAGTTATCAATTAGTTTACCTACATTCTACTTGATCTAGTGACGAATTCACTTCCAAGTGAATACCAGTGATAAAGCCTTAATCTACAACTACCAACCAGATGAAACCTCAGGCAGCCGCTGCCTACAGTACAGTATCGTTACAGACCCTTTAACACTATACAAAAAAAAGTCGGGAACCCCCCCCAAGGAGGATTTATTCGCAGGCTCCAAAACATAATTCGTCATCAATCATCTCTATGTCAATGAGGGGTTATGCCAAAACACGTGAATGAAATGCATAGGTTAACCCCAGTATTCATCGTTGGAAGGGCAACAATATTCAAGTAAAAGAAGCCAATAAAGCAACAAATGTTACACAATATCATTTATCAGAACTTTGGAAGTATGGGTAATTAATATTTTCATCCTTTTCATCCTTTTCCAATATCAAGGTCTTGATACCTATGTATATAGGTACATACATACTAGATATGTATGGCAAACCCAACAACAACAATAAATAAATATCCAAACCATAAACCTTCTTCATTTACCATGTGCCATTTACCATCAATAAATCATCAATCACATGAATAACATTACCATGAGCAAAACCTTATTAGCCTCGGATATATCACAGAGTTCCGACACAACCTACCAAAAACCCAGCAAGCATAAAAATTAAAAAAATATATCCCGAAGTCCTTTGATCTCGGACTCGGATCGGACTACCAGGCTCAATTTGGGATTAATTCCGTTTCATCGTGCATTTTGTTGAGGGAAAAAGTTGAAAAGTTTGGTCAGGGGTGGTTTTTTTTGGGGACCCGCTTTTATGTTGATTTTTTTTTTTCTTGCTTGAGCGAGTTTTGAGGATGGAGGATGGAGGATGTTTTTGGATGGGGGGGGAATTGGGTGGGTTTGCGGGGTGCGGATGAATGGGATGATGGATGGGATGGATGGATGGATGGATGGGGTGGTGGATGGGATGGATGGATGGAGGGAGTATGCTTTATGGAAGGTGAGAGGTGAGATGAGAGGGGTGAGATGAGATGAGAGGGGTGAGATGAGAGGGGGAGGAAGGAAGTGATGGGAAAGAGGAAGGAAAAAGAGAAAATCACGTTTTTGACGAATTGGAAGAATGAGAAATGAATGAAGTTTGGTTGGTCCTTTGCTGTTCCTGTTGGTTGGATGTATGTATGTACATATGAGGGTACCTAGGTATGTAATGTAGTATGTGCTTATAGACCCTGCATTCATTCAAAAGGCTCTCTGCAAGATTAGGTACCTTGAACAGTTGTGTATCATGTATGATAAACCGTATACCGCATGAACCAACGAAGCAATGAACCAATGAAGCAGTCTAAAATACAGAATTCTCGGTTGGGAAATACCAAGGTTAAATTGTAATGCGTAATTTAATATGGGCGTGCACTCAGTAAGGCTGAAAGATCTAACGCTCACCCACCTTTACCCTAGGAACTTTTAAAGCTTCTGGTTTGTGGCTCCTTCCTTGTACTCTGTATGGTGGGCTGATCATTCCAAAAATTGTTGGGATTTTTTGGATGAAGCGAGGCTGTGAAATGAAGAATAATCCAAAGAAATTGTATGAAGATACCAGTAATGGTAATGGTAACCTTCCCTTTACCAGTATTTTCTTAAACTTCACTTGATATTAACAATAATCAAAAATCAAGAAACAAGAAAAAGAACCGAGGTTCGGATATACAAGGATTTATTGTGTTTTTTTCTTCTTCTGCTTGTTTCTTCATTTCGAGAACTCTTTTTTATTGCATGCCAAACGAAGGTTAGGAATTTTTATACATTATTTCATTTTGATATCAACAACTCCTTCATACCTCAAATAGAAGAGATTCATTATTATCTTCTACTATCCTCATAATTCAATAAGTCTTTTCTTCCAATTTGGTAGATCGGCTTGAATTATTATACCTATCAATTTTCTGCCCTTTCCTAATTTGATATTCCTTTCAATATCAGATCAAAGCTTGGAGATAATCCTCGATCGCAAGGCTTCACTCTAATATCTCCATCTTGAAGACCCCTCGAAATCCTATCGAAATCTACCAAAGATGGCTTCCGCAACTGTCCATTTCTCAAAACCTTCACCTTCTCTATTTACATTTCCTCCAAACAATGATCCTCAAACTTTACCACCTCCAATACCACGTTCAACACTTTCTGCCCCTCCTTTCGCAATCGATCCCTCATGGTTCAATGCCGCCCTCGATGTTCGAGTCCCAATCACAATTGCTGCGGTTTATGCCGTAACTGTTACACTCGTCAATCATTACAATAGACGCGCAGGGAATAAACCATGGCCAATCAGTAAAACCAAGGCTTTCTTCGTTTTCGTCGTGGCACATAATATTTTCTTGGCCGTATACTCTGGGTGGACTTTTATTGGCATGTTTGGAGCTCTCAAGAGATCCATTCAAAATCCAATGGGTCCAGCTGGTCTCGCAGGCACCGTCGATAGTTTATGCAAAGTTCATGGAGTGACGGGTTTGGATAATGCCATGACTTATAATGCGACCATGTCGAAATGGACCGCTGAATTACCAACCGAGTTCAAATTGACCAGCGCTGGAATTCCAGATTCTACCGATTTGGGTAGATTATGGAATGAGGGACTTGCATTTTATGGATGGTTTTTCTATCTTAGCAAGTTTTATGAGGTTCTTGATACCGTCATTATTTTGGCAAAGGGAAAGAGAAGTTCGACTTTACAAACTTATCATCATGCTGGTGCTATGATGTGTATGTGGGCTGGAATTCGATTCATGTCACCACCAATTTGGATGTTTGTATTTGTTAATTCTGGAATTCACGCATTGATGGTAGGTTGAGTCATGTTTTTTATATCAGTCAAGACTAACGTTTATTTTAGTATACCTATTATACACTCACAGCATTTTCCGTCCCCATCCCACAAGCTCTGAAGCGCAGTCTCACAACAATGCAAATTATTCAATTCCTCGTTGGAGCTACCTACGCTACACTTCATTCCTTCATCTCCTATACAGTAACTGTCAAAGTTCCTTCCATTCCAGCTACCATCTCCTCTGTTGTTTCTTCAGCATCAGTAGTCGCTACTTCAGCGGTAGCAATCGCAACCTCAGAAGGTGTCTCTGCTTTCATTAAAAAACTTCTCTACCGCGCAGTTGGTGAAGAAGGTTTAGCCGAAAATGTCAATGCTCCAGCTTTTACAGAAACCGCTCAAGCACCTATTGCTTCTCATAAATCCCATTCGAAAATCACCTACGTTACTGAAACCCGTACAATTCCTTGTATTGATACTAGTGGACAAACATTCGCCATTTGGCTTAATGTAGTTTATCTTACTCCATTGACATTCCTATTTGTAAGATTCTTTATTAAATCTTATATTAGGAGAACATCTGGAGGTGGAAAGAAAGCAGGAAGGAAAGCTAGTTTTGTAGCAGCGGAAAAGGCGGGATTTGATGCGTTGAAGGGAGTGGAGAGGGAATTGAGTAGAGGGGAAAATGCACTTAAGGGAAAGTTTGAGAAGATTTGAGTGAAGAGGAAAAAGTGGGAAGAGAAAAGGGATTGACGTGGATTGAAAAAATGTAATAGGAGGTTAGGAAGGAATCCGTACTTTGTATTTGGGTTTTTAGGTCTTCTTTGTGAAAATATATTTAACTGTGGAGACCTTGGGAGGAAGGGGAGGAAAAGGAGTTGGAATTTTATTCGAGGGAATGAATGAATGGATGGATGGATTATAAATCAATGAATGAATAAATAAAAAACATTATAAAATAAATATATAAACAAATGAGGGAATGATTGAGAATTAATTACTCAAGATGATGTGATGTGATGGAAAGAGAAGGGGTGGGAAGGGGTGGGAAGGGATTGGAAGGGATAAAAGGAAATAAATATATTGTTAAAGTGAATGGTTCCTGCGTAGCACGTGCACAGGGCACTAGTCCTATTAGGACTAGATTGAGAAGCTCTCTGTAGGAGAGCTTCGCACTTCCGTAGAACTAAGAGAATGGGTGATTCTTATATGTTACGAGGTTTGCCGTCTAGATCACGTGGAAGTGCTCTAGGCTCTCGAGGTGGTTTATAACTAGGCGTCAAGCAGGGACTTAAAGTAATGACAATAATGCAATTCGTAACTAATAGTAGAGTATACTAAATGATTGATCTTGAGCACGAAGCTCTATACAAAGGAAATCCATCTTGATTATATAGACCTTCATGCTTCGTGGCTCGAAGGGAGCGAAGGGATCGAGCTTCAATCCTTTCGCTCTCCTCGATCGAAGGGCTCGAGAGGCCAAGCCTTCGAGCTCTTCGAGTTCTCGCATCACGTATTATTACTAATCCTGTGACCTAATTGTTACCTGCCGTAACATATATATATATATAAAGGATATTTTTAGATTTGATATTTTAGTTTATATTTTATAAAATCTTATATTATATTATTATATTATATTATTATTACTCTTCCTTTAAACAACTTTTACTGTACTAAATCATTTTATTTATTTAAAAAAAAATTAAAATTAAATATATCATCTACAAATTATTTATAAAAACAATAATAAAATATTTAATCTGTTTCAGAAATCTATATATTAAGATTCTTATATCTTAAGCTTCTTATCAAAATAAAAAAAAATTTGTTGTTATTTTGAAATTGATAAAAAAGAGAGAGTGTAACGATACTGTACTGGAGGCAGCGGCTGCCTAAGGTTTCGTCGGGTTGGTAGTTGTAGGTTAAGGCTTTATCACTGGTATTCATTTGGAAGTGAATTCGTTACTAGATCAAGTAGAATGTAGGTAAACTAATTGATAACTAAGTTGAGCACGAAGCTCCTAAACTAAGAAACTATTCTAACTATATAATGAACGATAAAGGGAGCCTCCAGGAGCTTTCTGGCTCCTCAGGGCTCCTGGAGCTCTAGGAGCTTCGAGGGCTCCTCGGGCTCCTTATCGCGTGATTCCTTTTTATCCCAGGACACTAATCCTAATGGTGAATCGTGACAGAGAGGTGTGTATAAGTATTAAATTAAATATTAAATTAGAATAAAATATGAGATATAAGATATGAGATGTATATATTTCAAGTTGATAATAATATAATACAGAAGGAGAGGAAATTTAAAGGAATTGTAGTTTTTAGTTTACGATTTGTAATATAAATATAAATATTTTGTAATTAGTAAGTAATTGACTTTGGAAAAGTAGTTTGGAGGGATGGAGGGATGTATGTATATTTTAAGAATAGGAATGTTAGGTAATTATAAAGATTATAAGTTATGAGTAGTGGGGTGGTAATTAGTATGTTTAGAGGGATGGGTTGTTGTTGGATTGTTTAGATTAAGGAATTAGTGGATGAGATGGAGTAAAGAAAGGTAAGAACGGTAAGGAAAGCTATTTGATGGGGGAATATTGTTATGAAGAGGAGTGAAGAATTGGAGAAATTGGGTGGGTGGTATATACACTAGGTAAGTAAGAGCAGAGAAATAAAGCAAGTAAAGAAAAACAAGAAATATTATTTGATGAACGAATATCATTGTAGCAATAGGAGAAAAGAATCAAAGAAACTAAGTAACCAAGTAATTGGTATGTGAGCAAATAAACTTCGAGAAATAAAGTAATCGAAGAAAAATAAAGGAAATCCAATAATTCTACGACCATCTATTCATCATCATTATCATCATCATCCTCCTCCTCCTCCTCATCCTTAACAACCCTCTTCCCCTTCCCCTTCCCACCCTGCAAACTAGTATCCAAAGCCTCCGACCTCTTCAAAGCCGACCGTTCATCAAATCCATATTTACCCCGACCACATCGATTCCAATTAGCTTTACATCCACTAGGAGTACGATAAATACCATACACACCAGCTAGTGCCTCGGATATATGTAACCAAAGTGGTGCGTCGTAGAGTTTTACGAGACCCGGGATTGAGGCTTCTTTTTCTCGTCGCGCGACGAGACATTGGTAGACTTGGGCGGTTTCTTGAGGGGTCCAGGGGGGGCGGCGAGTGGTGGATGCGGTTGGGGGTTTGTGGGGGAGGGGATTGGCGGTGCTGGTTGTGGTTGTGGTTGTGGGGGAGGTTGAGGTGGAGATTGGGGCGGAGGATTTGGTGTGGGTGTTGGATTTCTTGAGCTTTTTAGCTGGGGGTCGAGTAGGCTTGGTATTTTCTTCTTCATCCGAATTGTCATGGCTAGAGTGTCCTCGCTTGTTCAAAGGAGCTGGGGATGAACAAGGAGTATGAGCTGGTGATGGAAAAGGAGTCGCGTTTGATGATGTCGCCAAGCTGTGTTTTGCGCTCGACGGATGAGCTGTAGAAGAGTTCTCAGGAGTTTCCAATTGGTTAATTTCTTCAGGGGATTGTTCTTCGACGGGTTGTTCGTTTGGGTTTGCGATTCCAGCGTATTCTTCACCGTGTAGAATTTCCGCTTGCTCTACAAGTACTTGAGGATGAATTGGTGCATAAGTGAAAGATTTTTGGAGTGGATGAGCACTCTTGCCCTTGTCATCAGTTGAAGTAGCTGGTACTTGGTACTCAGCAACGTCTTCATCATTTGGATTGTTGTGAAGATGATACTTGTGGTGCAGCTCTTGCCCAATTGGGTGTTGTGTGAGTTCCGGATCAGTCAAGACTTCGTTTATCAAACCATCTGCAGTGCAATCAAATTGACCAAGTTGATCATTCAACCACTTTATTCCTCCCTCCTGAGTGTAAATGTGGGATGCCAATATGCACAAGGCTTTCTTGACGGATGATTCACTCATAGTGTTGAGGCATCGTTCTGCAGGCTTTGTGAACATCATGGTTAAGATGGCTATTTGGGTTTTGAGAGCTCCGAAGCTTAAAAATTGGTATGCTCGAACTGTACGTTTGAACAGTTGAAAGGTTGAAGTTAGATATTCGAATTGCACGATTGAACGGTTGCAGAAAGAAGATCTCCAAGAATCCAAGAAGATTGAGAAATGGACAAGTGCACTTTGTGAAATTGAAGGTATTCCACCAGAAAGAACTTTCTATTGTATCCATTGTACCTATTGATACTCCCGGGGGTAAGAATGTACCCACCATGATTCAATTGATTGTATTTCGAGCGGGTTCCGGACCATGTTGTGAAGAGTTGTCCCGTTTTGCAGAGACTTCTCTGAAAGGACAATAGAAAGTTTTCCTAGCTGCTGATTCTTGCCTTAAAGGAGTGAATTGATCTCAAGGGACAATAGAAAAATATAAAAATTGCCTGGAAGCAATCTCAGTTTGGAAGTGAATGCTACGGGAATAATAGGACAATAGGGATATCCGAACGGAAGTTGATATCATTAGTGGATTTGAAGCTCTCAAGGTTGAGAATAAACCGGCTGCGAAGGCAAGAATAGTAACTTTGGAAATTGAGACAGAAGGTGAAGATTGAAAATCTCGTTGGATCATGTCAACTAATCACATATATATCACTATGATATGGCATATGAAGATAACAATTCTTGCCTCGATCTATGTATTTATTACAATTTAGATCTTTTACTTCAAAAATCGAAGGTTGTTGACTATGAAAAATGAAGAAGGAAAAGGAGAAGGAAGAGTTGAAGAGCGGTCGTTGAGAGAGCAAGTGAATCACGTGATAGCTCCTCACCTGATTTCACCCACTTTTGATCTTCCAACAGTGTTGTTCCATGATACTTGAGAGGACAAGACAACAAAAACCAAGCACAAAGCGAATACATCAAGAAAGTTGGAAAATGCCTGTGACTATCAAAGCAAATGTTAAGGAAAACATAATCCATACAAAACTACTCAATCAAGATGATTTCGCAATATTTGGCACTGTGATTCAAAATCCTGCACCAGAGGTAATTCCATCGTCAACAATCAAAACTCTACCACCAAACTCGGTACAAGCCAATCAAGGTACCGCACTCAAGTACTTGGATGTAACGCATATGAAAGATTACTATGGGACTGCTCCTAGTCAACGGGTCGCAAATGCAGTCATGAACATGTTTGTATGCTCATCTCGTTCGCTTCTCCCGTCTCACGATAGCAATATCAAGGGTTTATTCCCCGTCACCATACTGGAAAGACATCCTTTCACAACTCAAACATTCATACCTCTCGGGATATCACCCTCGGAGCAAGATGATGTATGTTACTTGGTTGTCGTAGCACCGAGTTTAACGCCGTCATTGATTGATGAAACATTACCCGTCCCCATTCTCTCTCCTCAGTCGAATACGAGCGATGACAATGGCGAAAAACTTCCTGGTCGCGGTTTGCCGGACATGAATAGAATTCAGGCCTTCCTAGCGAATGGTTCACAGGCGGTCACTTATGGGGCGGGGACCTGGCATGCTCCGATGGTAGTCGTGGGGAAGAAGCCCATTGATTTCGTCGTGGTGCAATTTGCCAACGGGGTAGGAATTGAGGACTGTCAAGAGGTAGAGCTGGAGAAGACGGATAAGGATATTTGCGTGGCCGTCCCACACTTGTCAAGGAATGCTACGTGGAAATTATGATGGCTTCCGGATCAAGATCTTGATTTAGAAGCGACGGGTATTACAGAATGATATTCTTGTTTTTCGAACATTACGAATTCCACGCTTAGAAAGCATCTATGCCACATAATTCTTATCATCGCTCCCCTTGTTTGCAATCCCGTGGCAGTAAAGACGTTGATGCACATCATCTCCATTACCTTGGTAACTATTAATCGTTATAGCTTTGGATTCGGGACAGAGTAGCACCACTGTCGACGAATTTACATGTATCTTTGGTACTTCATGTAGGTCGGCGACCTAGGCTATCGGCCACGATATGTACCTATAGAGGTCCCCGATACCTCAACAATAGAAGGCTACAAAACTTCACATTCAATATAAAAAAACATGAGAATGATTGATAATACCGTCCCAATACGTACAGCCCCCAGATCTCAACGATTCTGCTTGAAGCGCATCAATCAATCGATTCCGAAATGATACTTTCGGACGAAGATGTACAACCTCGGAGTCACGAAGTAGCGTTGCAATGCAGGAATACTATATTTTCGAGCGACAACATATCGATATTTGATCACTGGAAATGATCGAGAAATCTTGGAACTATGTACTAATCATTGCGCAATTCACTCGTAAATTCTACCAATGAGTAATACCAACTAAAAGTATCCCGGTAGGTATCTTTAGGTAGCAAAATACCGTACCGTGTTCCTGAACCATAATATCCTCTTTCTACCGTTTTAAACGCCAAATAATAAAAGTCGGCGATGTATTTAATAATTTGTAAAGAGAAAAAAAAAAGATAAGAAAACCTATCCCGCCCAGCCATCCATCTTCTTGGGGATACCTAGACGTCCTAGGAACACAGCGGCTCATCAGGTAGGTATGCATTGAATAGGATTATCGGCTTTTCACCTCGTGGTAGCAATGCTTATACTCCGAAGAGAAAAACCAACATTTTTGGAACCCGTTATGCTTACTGCCACCTACCAGATTGTAGATTGGCGAGACCTCCTGTCCAAAAGGTTACTGTAGATTCTTCCGCCATACCGTTTTTGTTTCCCTCTTCTAGGCCTTTTAGGGCTTTCACTGCGACTGTACTCGGCCGGATGCTTACTTGTGAGGAGTGTGGGTAGCGAGGCAGGTGAAGGGATAACCAATGAAAATAGAGGGCAACGGTCGGAACTTCGACATGGCAGCGCAAACTTGCAGACGGGTATGCATCTCCATGTACGCAGAATAACATGATCAGCATTTAACATTTAACAAACAATAGCCCTTCAGCCACTCTTTACACACCGGTTCCCAAATGGATAATATCTCGCATGAAGCATGAACAATGGTGTAGTATCGTTTTTAGGGCGAAGGAAGATCTATACGGATTAGACTTGCCAAGTGTCATATGAGCTGAATACCTAGTAGTTAACCCATAATGAAGGAAGCGACAAGTAACAAAAGCATTAATCTGAAAAGTTATTCTTGAACTTGACAATTCTTTTTCTTGGGATTACTAATAATGATGATCAGGAAATCCATAACATGGCAGCCTCATCTGTTCCTCGCCTCTTTGCGCAACGCCTCATTCAAGAAGTCGCCAATTTTAGCCTAAAAGGGTAAGCTTCGAGGGCCAGGATTCCTTATGGGTTAGACAAGGGGTAAAAGGGTAAGAGCCGTTTCTAGGTCAGGGCTTAGAACCATCAAAGTCCATACCAGCAGGCCCAGCAACCATGAAAAAAGCCCACAACAAGGATGCAAAAACTCATCTTGGTGCCCCGGCTCATGATCTTGGTAGTGTAACGCAACGATCTTTTGTTCATTTCTCCCTGGGAAGCATAGGGCGAATGACAGAGGAGAGAGAATCCCCTCCAAACCAAGTAAAAGCTTGCGAATGGATTCATCCCCGTTGTCTGTTCAGAGGGTAACACATAGAGTGAAGATCTCTTCAAAACGCTTTCAAGGAGCCCTGTCAAAAGACGAGACTACCGATCTGAAGATCAATATACTGCCCCCGTTATTCCCTCTTATATCTTATCCTCAATTTATTTTACGGAGATCCCGTGTATATCACTCCCCACATACAAAAAATCGGACTGAGCAGTGGGCAAGCCCCGTGAACTTTTGGCCCAGCGCGCGTGAAATTTTTGATCTGATACCGAGAGTTTCGTGTAAACGAAGTTTCAAGGTTATGATGTTTATATTATATTTCATGAGGAGGTTCTTTATTTAGGTACAACAGATGGATATCAGTTTCAGATCTTGGAACTGATTGAGCTTACCCACGATTAAGTTGTAAGAGATATATTGTAGGGGAAATGTCTGGGCATCACAGGTATGGAAGTTTCATGGTCAATATGAAGGGATATGTCAAGGGAATATCTCCAAGCCTGGAATGCTCCAAAATCTTCTCCATACATCAGCCTCACTTACCATGATACCACACACAACATCACCACATACGCCAACGGATACAGCTGTGAAAGGATCCCTTCGCAAGGGTTGCCATTACCATGGGATTCCCATCTCTCACATATCTCTCTCAAGGATGATGATTACTCTTACCAAAAATAGCTTCATAACGGATTTTTGCTTTTTCTCGGGCTTCCATTTCCATTCCTTCGCGGGTATCATACCGACGCTCATATCCGTGTATCTGGATCTATTGCTGAGAGGCATAAAATATTATACACATCTCATATAGATCCTTGAACAATATATATATCAAGGGTTTCATTAATTATGATGCCTAGAATCTATCCTGATGCGAATGTCTGAAACTTTTGTTCGTACAGCTACAATCAATGTTCCTTAGATTGATAGATACCGGAGATGATTGAGCTGGAGCGACAGAATTCTAGACAGCGTCACAAGACAAAGCTAAAAGAGTGACATACAGTCTTTTATCTCGAATACCTTTTCTTAGATACCCAAAATCAATAATAGGATCAACATATAGATGGGTATTTCATGCCCACACAGGTATTTTCAAGGGCCCGGATCGACCAGGGAACCCAACCAAGATACACCTCCTTTTGTATCGTGATTCGAGACTCCTATCCACATGAAGTAATTAATCGCTCTCTTGCAGGGGAGAGTATGAAGAGGGGAAAAACAATCCGATGTGACTTTCTTCATCTGTCTTTTGTCGCCGGCATCATTCGTCCTTGAGCTCCCCGCCCCATCAAATAAACTCTATCCAACTTTATTCCCAGCAAGTTGCACCTCTACTACGCCATCGATTTCGGTAGCGATGTGGAAGGCAGTGCCAAATTTCTTTCTACAGGCTATCTAACATATTGACATATTAACATTAGGCCTTCTAGGCCCTACAGTCTCCTTCCCTATCCAACCCAACCTAATCTTTTGACAGCTGGGCTGGGCGACTACACGCCCTAATTCTTTAATATTCCGCACACTAACGAACGTTTTCTCATTAATTTACTTGGAGAAGCTAGGCAGTATCCATTGGCTGCTTCGTGTTCGTTTCCGCCATGGATCAAGGCACTTCACTTCCCATTTCTTTTCTTCCACCCTCAGCCACTAAGCTTGGACAATGACCAATTTCAATTTCATTCCAAATAATACAAGGTGCAAAACGGAACAACCCCACGAGCGTAACGACGCAAAGCTCGTCAAGCGAAAGCAAGTGCCCGTAGATCATGGCGTAGCCCAGAGGGCGGAGGTTGATGATTGGATGGCTTGTGCGAAGAATCAAAGGAGGCGGCAATTGAGGGGGTTTGCCGAGGATTTTCCGTAAACGGCTGAGCGGTTTGAATGGTTGTCGTGATGTAAATCATAATGAATTACATGAGAAGGATAACTGTTATTCAGATTCTATGAGTAAGAATGAATCTCTTGGCCTCATTACCAAGTATATCCCGTGTCCGTTTCTTCAACGGCTGAACTCTCCATCACTGGGAACAAATAAGACAAGACATAAGAAAGGAAACCAAAACATTCTTCTATTCCTTGTACACCAATCGCAATCATATAATTTTTGCTTTTTCTGAAACTTCATCCACAAAATTTCATTTATCTCGTGCATACTCCATAACCTTAATAAGGTTTTCATAAGGAGTAAGAAAAGCACAGTAATCAACAACGGGATCCTTTCCGTAGAATTCCCATTCGGTGTGAGATACAACATCCTCGTCCTTAATGGCCTTTGCTGGGTAATAACATAATCTGTACGGAAAACCACGCCAACCCTGTTCTGTCTGTTCTTGAGGTATTAGATTGGGTTCTGAGATAGTGCCTGAACATATGAGTGATATGAGCCTATGTACCGAAACATTGTTTCGTTGAGATCTTTGGATTCAGTCGATCATCATCATAAACAAGCATTGAGCCAAAACCTTAATATCAATATCAATCAATATCAGCTCGTCCAGCACGAATAAATGTCCCTTTTCGCAAACCCGACGGATAGTACCGTCCTCTGCCGCTTTCTGTCGTTGAACCACTGTCACCCACCATCAAAACCCCATTATCGTTGTTCCAGATCTCCCTGGGACATTGGATTCGGATCGTATACTGTCCCTGTACAATGCCCATTGGTGAAATATTGAATTGATTTGTTTTCCTTGAATACCGGTAGAAAGGAACAAGAAACATGACCCCCCCTGAAATCCCGAGAAATCACTTAACCTCACGACGATAAACGTGCCGCTCCTGTTGTACTCTCTTGAACCACCATACTGTACATGTTACCATCACCAAATACTCTCTGCCCGTCGCGACGGCAGCACATCCCAATGAATGATGGATAATAGAACAGTGGTCAAAACATAAAAAATTATGAAACATAACAATTCCGCTCACAGCAGTATATGAACAGTAGCACAGCATAAAAACACGAGTCACGACGTTAGTAGTGCCTACATTGCATGGCCCCTGTCAGCGCCAAGTATTTACCAGGGGGTATCGGCGACCAAATGCTCCCTTCCCAAGCGACTTTTGGTGGTGATTTACATAGGAGATTTTGGGAGACCCGATGGGTTGGATCCAACGTTGTGGTTTTGACGAGTAGGAGCACGACTTTGAAGAGTGTGGTATTGGGAGCTTTCACACCGTGTAACATTGTGGTGGTAGAGATTGGGTGGTGAAAGTGCTTTCCCCGGTAGTCTGCTTGGCGGATTAGGGGAGCGCAGTTTTATTGATTTTTGGGTTGTGATGAAAATTTGGATGTCTTGATCGATCGACGGATTCGTGATTTACAGTGGTGCTGGGAAATGATCGTTGCTGAGATCTATTTAGTTCATGGTGATCATTGGACTTTTGTCTAAGATCTCCAGCTAGACTGGGGGGCATTTGATCTACCGAAGAGCTTTCAAGGGCGAGTAGATTAGGGTGTCAAAACTCAGTATGTTTTTCTACAAGACCTAATCCAATTTCAACATCGCCAACCCCAAAGAAACAAACTCAAAAATACAAACTACTGGTTGTGTCACCAATCTAAACCAGTAAGACGCCGGGACAAAACCCCATGTTTATTTATTTACCGTCACCTCACCGTGTCCACGGCAGGTACTGGTACAACTAGCCAACCCGTGAACCTTACTGCTGGATCCGGATAGGTGCAGCGACTACAGAAGAAGATGTATGTATGTCTGTCTGTCTTTATCTTGTACAACAGCAATGCAACATCCAAGGGAGGCAGGTAAGGTTCTTCGGTACCATCGGTAAGGGCAGGCAGGGCTCTTGTACAAGTATTTTGTTGGTCTCCGTCGTAAACCTTGCTTCATCAGATTACTTTTTGTATGACATCAAGGCTTTCTCTAGTGGAGACACTCAAGAGTCGAGAGTCGATAGTTTTGCAACGGGGAAGGGGGAAAAGTTAATTTGTATGTACTTAGTGTGGCTTATCTATATAATTCGATAAATACCAAATGAGGAGTATCTGAAATTAAGCTTGAGCATTGTAGAGTTAAAATATGCAATTCTGGATCAATGAATGATCACATTGTATCCAGTCTGGTTAGCTCAGGACAGAGATAAAGGATGATAGATTAAATTATTGCATCACTGATACCTAAATAGTCAAAACATATATGCCAAAGAGTCGCTGCAAAATAAACTCTGTAAAATAAAGCACTGCGTTGAGGGATTCCCACTCTCGGGACCCGGGAGCAAAAAGAGATCTGCAGTGTCCGTCGCTCTTATTTTCCTAGCTTTAGTCTAAATTCCCAGCCTATATCGACGATCCACAAAGAAATGCAACATAAATTGACATCCTTGAACAAATTATCATCTATTGTTCATTGTAATCATTCAAATTATATGATTTTGTGGACCTTGAAATCCCGACAGATAAACAAGAATCCCGGTTGAAGGCTGTGCCATCTGGATTCTTGATCTATCTACATATCTATCCCGGCGAACTGGCCGCGTCTGAGGGAAACGGAGAAAGTAAGGATATATGGGCCCGTGTCTTGTCAGGTGAGGTTGTGTGGAATTTCACCAATATAAGAGAAATGATATGGGTTGATACAAGATGATATCAGGTACGGAACGAAGTACGATGCGCATGAACCATTGCTTGCATCCTATATATCTGCCTACACAAAAACCAATAATTCGATTATCCTATATGATGGCTGTTGTTGACAGGTATATAAATAGTATATGGGTTGGGATTCTCGGCACCATATATTCAGGTGTAGGGGCATGGCATTGAGCATAAACCTCATTTCTACGCCCTGAAAGCCTCACGATCAAAAAGCATAACAGTGATCTTCCAGGGGCTTGCCGTATCTACCGTACCGACTGGATGGGCGGCGTGATGTGATGCGCTGCGCTGTGAGATCCCATCACATCACATCACATCACATTGCACCGTTTAGACCTTAGTCCGAAAGCACATGGCCGCACAAGCACAAGCTGCAAGGGAAATTCCAGCGGAAGGAAGCGAAGCACTGGATACAAGCGAAGGATATTTAAAAAGGCACATAGCGGATGGGATGGGACAGACGGAGCGGCTCGGGGTTAGGTGTTGTGCTATGGTGTATCAATGGGAGAGTTAATGTAGGTTGTGTATTACAAGAGTGGAATATCTACATGTACTGGCTGATAGATGACCCAAGAGAACAGAGAGAAACAGGGAGGACATGCTGATGGCAGGGAATATAAGGCAATGGAACCAGGTACCCACGCAAACAAATAACGAGGTAAATGATATGCATATTTTAAAGTCCGTTATGTGTATATTTGTGCGGGTGAGGGTGCAATCTTTCGGCTTCTACGATGGAATTGGGTTTGGATTCGGAGTTATGATTGGCTAAAGGGGAATTATGAAGAGTGGAAAAGCGGATTATTGGCCGATAGGTACCTAAGTACCAGAACAATGGGGGAAGGGAAGTATTGAAATTTTTCTTTTTCACATTTTTAGGTTTTTACCAACTACATGAAATGAGATATTGGCAAGCACATGGCCAAGATGACGACGGACAGTTCCAGAGGATGGAATTCACAGTATTCTCGTTCTATATTTCCGCATTGATATTAGTCTGTTTAGCTGAAGCTTTTTATTAACCCTCAAATCTTCAAATTACCGTCGGTCGTTCGCTTCCTTTTCCAACAATATGAGCGGGTACTCCATATGGTTAGAGCCATGACCCAAAGACCACAATTCCATCATTGATGAAGGGGGAATTTCGCTTTCGTTTCGCAGCACCGACCACCGCCCACCGATCACCTAGTTAGTACCTAGTAGCTACCTACTACCCTACCATTTTCCAATAATGATCTAATGTGATCACTCAACAGTCAATTCTAACTCCACTCTTCATTTTCAAAATCAAAAAACGATACAAAAATACATAGCACATGACCATATTTACCACTCATTGGTATGGATAAAAAGTTAAAGAAATTGTACCTTGGTGCTTTTCATCAAACCACCAGAAAGAACCTAGCATAATCACAACCATAATTATCTTTTATTTTTTCAGCTCTCTTCAGGGACGGTTCCACCACAACCCCAAAGCGTTTTGGATCACGATTTGAATTTTTGGGAGAGGAAGGAAAACACTGTGCTGTGCTGTGCTGTATTTGCTTGCTTGCTATGGATATTCGTCACTTTTACGAGCCCGTTGCATTGACGCCATCTCTCAGCTTCAGGTCCTGGAAAGAATCTATTACAGTGTCTGGGTACTATACTGTACAAATCCCAAACATTTGCATTATTGAGATGATTATCAATTGATGCAGGTGTCAGATTTGTTGGTAGGCAGATGGATAAAACAATTATCAGATGGCATGGCATGGCATGGCAAATCATGCGATAGATGAGATAGAAGCAAATGATGTGAGATTTCTAGAAGAAATAGTAAGATTTGCGAGAATTATACTTAGAGGGATCTAGAGGGCTAGAAAGATTTGATGTATTCCTTCACTTCAATTTTTCCTCTTTCGGACTACGCCTAGACCTCAAATTGCTCAATGAGTTCAAAGAAAGAATGGCAATTAACCTCATTTGTATGGAAAGGATCTTCCGACGAGCGTATGGTAAGTGCTTTTTCTTCCTCTTCGCCAATTCTCCTCCCCCTTCATCGCTATACTCGCCGTACTCGCCAAATTTCCAAACCCTCTCCTCCCCTCCTCCGCTTTCGCCAAAATTTACTGCGATGAGATATGCAATTTTTAGATACGGTATTTCATTTGATGTTACACCTAATTTCATAATAAAGGACCTAGGAAAGATCCTAGCTTTCGCGGGTAACTCCTTTTGGAGATAGCACTAAAAATCCTGGGTAGAGTCCACCTAAAGGTCGTAGTCACTCGGTAAGGGCTTGCTTAATCAACTAAGACAAGCTAGGCAGTAAATTCCAAATCAATCTCTTTATTTTGCTTTTTACTCCCTTCTTACGCACGTCGTTCTTTTTGTAGATGATCTTCTTACTCTGTCGCTTTTTATCCATTTTCTTTATTTTGTTTTAAAACTCGTCTGTTTTCATTTCTATTTGAAGAATAGCTCAATGTATGCTTAAATGAATTCTGTACCGCAATGTATCTGTACTTTCGGTATCTATATTACTCCTCGCGTCTCATTTGATACTTTGTGCTTTGCCGACTAAATTACGAATGTAGCTGTGTAGTTCATACAAGCCCATCTTATTGACATATCCTATGTGTAGACATAGAAGACATGGATTATCACGCTCAGGATTGCTAAGAGTAGGTGAAAATGGGGTAGAAAGGGAGTTGAACGACCCGAAAGATTGGGTAATGCGTAGAAGCCTTCCCGCGACGCCAACGAGGATCATTCATCATCAATATATGATGTTACTTCTTTCGACACCCAGAGCGGCTTAGTGAGCTGGTGAAATATGTCTCAAAGCATCTATCCCAGACCCAGGAACCCAAAAACTTCCTAGGTTCAAAATATTCCTAGGTTTGCACAAACCATCCACATTTTTATAACACTCTCTCAAGACCTAGCAATCTCATACATCTTCATATTTCAACCACCCCTACCACAAAAAATTCAAAACCCGCCCACTTAACACCTAGACCATTGCACAACATCCACACATACATCGGTCACGTCCCCGCTACCCAAACAATCCACCCCGGGCCCAATACCCATATCCACACGACGCATACTTGGATTAAAAAACACCATTTACCACCACCCCTACACTCCCCATCTCTCATCCCAGGAAATCCAAAAAAAAAAAAAGATACACCTCTCCCTACGCTGAGTTTATCCGATCGAAACTACGCTGTACAGGATCCGTGCTACGCATCCATACCAAAACATCGATCACCCCTCCCTAGAAGAGGGCATCCACATTACCCCCCTGTTGTTATGGCCTTGATCGTTGTCATGCCCGCCAATAAAATGTTTTCGTAAGAATCCCTACAGTCCCTGGCTTACCTGGAAAATCAATGTATATCATTGTCATACTTCCCATCGCCGACTATACTTTACAAGACATAAGCCCCATCTCCAGCCCGATATTGACTTTCCTATTTCAATATCTTCATATCATCTCATCGGTTTCCTGTTCTCAAATATAACTTCGACCTCATCCATCATCATCCTCAACATCAGCATCGAACATCATTGACAATAACGTGGATCGATACCAGCATTACCTTTTATCTCTTTTGAAGGAAAGATCTTAATCTACACGACTCAGTTATCCATCAGAGCGTTACGTTTCGAACCATTTTAATCTTTGAGCACACAGACTTCTTGGCTTAAGCTTTTTTGCCTTACTTCCCGCTTTAACGGAAAGGTTCACCCTTCATCCAAAGAAGATCGAAATCTCTCTTCGCCACCGCCGCCATCACAATCTAGATCAAGAGACTGGATTGAAGCACCCAAAACCAAAATCCACCTCCAAGTTTTAGCGCTGTCTCCACTTGTAACATCTTCCTTAAAAAGGTCCCAGGACCAAGTACAGCACCGAGCGACGATACTATAATAAGGGTAGTCGCGGACACTTTAAGTCGTTGAGCACCCGTTAGTTCGTGTCCCGGGCTCAAGTACACAGGCGATATCATCCCTTGATCCCTCGTGTTTTTCAAAAACATCCACTTCCCAGTCCGCGTCCCAACCGTGCCCCTTGAGCTCTTCAACATCCTTTGAAGACCTTGACCGCTCTTGTGGCATATTTTCAGGACCTTCCAATTCCATCTTAGGACCGTTGGCCGATTAGGAGTTCTTATATCCTAACGTCTTTACCCCTCGACCTAACGACTGATCATCATCGCCTTCACTTTGGTTTTGGTTTTCTGTCTTTCTCTTCATCTTCATTCACTATTCAGAATCCTCTATCTTCTACAATGTCATCATCTCATCGACGTGGGCCTTGGTCGCCAGCTGAAGATTCCTACTTGGTACAACTTGTTCACACACAAGGAGCATTGAACTGGGTGAGAATAGCACAACTCATCGGTTCAAGATCACCAAAGCAATGTCGAGAACGTTACCACCAAAATCTCAAACCAACATTAAACCATGATCCAATCAGTCCCGAAGAAGGACTTCAAATTGAAAGATTAGTAGGAGAGATGGGTAAGAGATGGGCTGAGATCGCACGTAGACTTCAAGGTCGAAGCGATAACGCCGTCAAGAACTGGTGGAATGGAAGCATGAACCGTAGACGTCGTTTGGTTCTTCGTAGAAGAACTTCTTCCCATTCACACTCTTTCAACGAGCAATCCGAAACACTTTCCTTTGCACGACCAGCTCATTCTTATTCTCACCTCACCTCCCGACAGATCGATACCTTTTCATCACGAAGAATCCACGGTTCCCTTCCATCTCCCTCAGTATCCGAAGCATCAAGAGCAGAATCACTCGATGGTGCTCCTTCCTTGATCTCAGACACTGGATCCAACTTTTCCATCTCTCCTAGAGTAGCATCCTCCCCTTCACTCGAGCTTCCACCTCTCTCATTCAATCGTCTCGATGCACGAAGACCATCTCTTCCCCAACTAGGATTCAGATCCAACACTTGCCCTTACGCAACAGAATTCGAAGCACAATCTTCATGTCATCCTTCGCCAGAAAGAGAATCGTACTATACGCATATGCATTCCAAGTCGATAAAATCTCCTCAGCACAACAGAGGTCCAAGCGTTGCGAATACATCCGTGAATTATCCACACCGTCGCCCAGAACAACAATACCCTTGCTCCCTACCTCTCTCTCCACCTCGCGAACCACATCATCAAAATGAATATTATATCTCGGAGCGTGCACAACAAGAAACCCCAAGGTCAGCGGCGCAGCCATTAACTGCGCCGCCTAGCCCACAACACATTCAATTAGCTCCAATCCGATCGATTAGCCCTTTGAACACTTGTTCAGTAGAGGCAAAGGAGAGAGACGCGAGGATGCAACTCACGAGTCTCTTACTGTAATCGATCAGATGATAGGAGTTAACGATAGATATTTCTTTGGTGTAAATCAAAAGTTGCCTGGTGGGAGTACGGGACTTCAAAAGAACCCTAGTATCAATTTTTTTTTTGTACGCAAGCGAGCGAACGCATGCATTTCTTATTTTGGTCTAATACCTA